ATTTAAAAATTTCTTGCTCAGTATGTCGAACACTATTTTTCCACATGTCTGGGGTAACCGTTTGTAGAGCCTCGTTCCACATATCCAAACAGTCTTTTTCACTGTTACCATCTCTACCAATATGTCTGTTATAGTAACCTTTTGCTATGCCCCAAATTAACTCAATAGGGTTAAATATACAATGGTAAGGAGGCAGACGAAGAACTTTGTGCCCATGTTGTTCCGCCAATTCATCAATCACGTATATTTTAGGTGGTTTGTTTCTAAAAAAGCAGTTATTTTAAGAATAGGAATAAACAAAAGAAATATAAACTGTCGACCAAAATATATATAATTAAGAAGCATTATGTACCGAGCAACAATACTCAATAGCTCTGTTTTAAACATTGTGTTTAAAAATGGTACGTTTTGATTTGTCAACCAGTCTTGGATATTTTTTTTTGTCCATGCATTGTTGGGCACTTTGTTCAATATCATGCTGTGATAAGGGGCGTTATCCAGTATAATCATAGATGGACTCTCCAATTTTTCTAATAACTGATGTTGAAACCATTTCAAAAAATTGTCCTGGTTCATCTCTCCATGGTAATCGCTCAATTTTGTTTTCGAAGAAAATATCGCTTCACTACCCTCAATAAACCCATTTTCATTTCCAGCATGTAATATAATGTATCTAAAATATATTAGTTTTAAATTTTATAGTGCAAATTGTGTAAAAGTACATACCTTTTACCATCTGTTTTAATAGCTTTCACGCTTTTTTGGTTTCCATTTTGCCAAGAGCGACCTATGGTCCCATTTTGAAATATCCAAGTTTCATCGAGGAAGACAAACTGGTATAAGGCCTCAACCTTGGCTTGATTGTATTGCCTTAGAAATTCCACCCTTTTCAAAGCTATACTTGGTAGTTCCATGAGCCCTCGTCGCGGATTGTCCTTAAGCCACTTAAATCCAAGATCTCTAAGCAACCGCCTTAAAGACGTGGCACTACCATCAAATAATGCCCTATCTCTTAATCGAGACCATAAAGTTTGTATCGTAACTTGTTCTTCTGAAACCATGTGTAATATGACATTATAATTTAGTTAACAAATTAATGCAAATTTCTGATAAGTTATTATAATAAGATCTTACTTTTGTGATACATATTATAGATCACTTCTCGAATGGCACTTGTATCCAATGTCGCTGTGTTGGTTACACGTTTAATATAACTCCGCTTTTTCTTGGGCGATTCTAAATTTGCATCACTTTTCACACCCTCGGAAATACGACTAACTGTCCTTAAACTAATTTTTAAAGCAGCAGCAACACGCTACAAAAAAATGAAATAAAATTTCACTATTATTAATATACATTACATATAATTATTAGTAACCTACCTCTTGAACAGCGTTTAAAGGCAACAAAGGCCCGTTGTTGTCCCTTTCTTGCTCAAAGTAGTGCATTAACGAGGCCACGAGTTCCTTACACCGACTATTTAACTGTTTGGGCATCTTTATATACCAAAATTGCCTTTATCTACTCGTAAAATGAATAATTTAGTTTTGAAACAAACAGTTGTTGATTTACAGTAGCGGGGCCAAAGGATTTATAAAGATTTGAAATGCCACAAATTGATTCAGTGTCAAAATTAATACAAATGTCAGTTCCCAGTTTAAATAAGTTTCAAGGTGACAATGTGTCAACGCTGCGAAATCGGTTTAGTGCGTTTACATGTCGATAAGTGATTGGAGCGTTTGCAAAACATTTTATTTCGCATAATGCGTCTAAATTTATCAGAAAGCAACTTATGTGATATTTTAATAATAATGTTTATATGACTATTAACCATAATAAGAGAGTAATGACCATTTTACAATTTATATATCACATTAATATGAAACTGCAATAGAGCAATTGTTTGTGATAGAAACCTAGGCATTAGGTCGGGGAATTTTTATCGTGATGACGTGCACGCCACTTTGTTTGGCGTTGACTATATTTTACTTCTATCTTTTGTCCGAGTTCTTATTAGATATCTTTTTACTTTCTTTAAAGGTTTCTGTCTCTTGCTCTTAAATCTTCTTTCTTTTGCTCGTCTGTGGTCTTCGGTTGTGCTATCTTCACTGATACGGTATGCCGATATCTATGCCCTATTACCTCGGCCTATGATTTTTGTCTTCTATTGTCTATATATGGCTGCCTACGCTGAACCGCGCAATGCGCCGAAGGTACCGATTTCCCGGGTCGACCCCTCGGAGGAAAAATGGTACAGATCAGCTGATAGCGATTCGAGATTTCTTATTTCAAGTGCAATCCTCACTTACCCCGCAGATTTTCACTTTCTGTTTATTTCAAAGAGTTACAGTTCAACCAATTTGCGCTCAATACTATCTTTCAATAAATACAGGGTGGGGCAAAAGTCGCGAAGGGATTTGAAATGTTGATAACTTTTTTAAATTCATCTTGTTTTCTTTTTTTTCCAGGACTGTGAAAAATCAATCCGGGAGATTGGTTGTGGAGCGTTACAACCTTAATCAACGAACCAAACTTATAGAATTTTATTTTGAATATCATCACTCAATAATTCAAACTCAACGAGCATATCGTCGTCATTTCAATTTGCGGAATTCGCCCTCTGAATCAATGATTCGACGCTTAGTGGCACGATTTCAGCAACAAGGCACAGTTATGGATCTCCCACGAAGCGGAAGGCCACGTTCCGCAAGAAATGAAGAGAACATTCAACACGTTCAGGAGAGCGTTCAGGAGAATCCGGAAACCTCAACCCGAAGACGTTCTGCTGAGCTGCAGATGTCTCGAAGGTCTTTATGCCGAATATTAACAGGAACTTTACATCTGTTTCCATATAAGGTGCAGCTAGTGCAAGAACTAAAACCAGCAGATTACCAAGAACGACTAGCTTATGCAGTTCGCTTGCAAAGAATGGCTCGAGGAGATAATGAATTTATTTATTATCTGATCATGAGCGATGAAGCCCATTTCATTTGAATGGCTTTGTAAATGAGCAGAACTGCAGAATATGGGATACCGAGAACCCAAGGGTGGTTCATCAAAGTCAATTACATCCGCCTAAATGTACAGTATGGTGCGCAGTTACGTCTCAACGAATTATTGGACCATTCTTCTTCGAAGACCACGATGTGAATACTGTATCTGTAGATGGCGAGCGATATCGGGATATGATTCAAAATTTCTTAAGACCAGCTCTTGCTGATAATCAAGCGATGAGGTTCCAACAAGATGGGGCCACTACGCATACTGCTCGAGCCACTATGCACCTTCTAAGGCAGATTTTTGGCGAACGTTTAATTTCGAGAAATTCAGGATTCAATTAGCCCGCCCGCTCGCCGGACTTAACAGCCCCTGATTATTTCCTTTGAGGATATCTGAAAGGAAAGGTGTATGTTAATAAACCCACAACCCTGCAGCAACGAAAGGATAATATTCGAGCAGAAGTAAGTGCTTTGGGGCCAGATATTCTGACTATGTTCTTGGAAAATGCTCTTGCAAGAGCTGCACTTTGAGGGGCTGAAAATGGCGGTAATTTTCGTGATGTAATCTTTCACACTTAAATTGTAAACAAACTCCAAATATTGCATTTTAGTTTTATGTAAGGAAAAAAAATTAAATTAAAATTTAAAAAAGTTATTAATTTTTCAAATCCGTTCGCGACTTTTGCCCCACCCTGTATAATGACTCGAAACTGTTCGTAAGACGGATTTAATTTCGGAGCCCAGTTTTGTGTAAGGTATGCAATGTACTATTTTACCTTATTAAATCATAATCATTGGTCGATATGCCCTATTGGGGAGTAGCCTTTTTCTCCATAGGTATTGCTGTAGTCACTGTTCTTGGCGGGTCAAGGTAAGATTACCAGTATCACTTTATATTATATCTAACTCCCTCATACATATACGTGCAACCTAATCCTGTGTGTGAACGTTTGTTCGGTAAATTCAAAGACATACGGTTTTTAGTTATGTGACTCCGTCTCGAAAACTTCCGTACGTATGAGTGCCCTTCAATCATATTTGTCCGAAAGACAACTTTAAAATCAGAAAATAAGAAATGTTTGTCCATAGTAACACCTGGGGAAACTCACAAAATCCAAAAATGTAAGACCGATGATATAAGTGATGCCGTCAAAACAGAAATTATACTTTCTACGATATGAGAAGTAAAAGACAACATATCACGATCTCTGCGCTCAATCAGGAGCTTAAAAAAGGTACATATACAATGCTTCGGATTCAACTTTAAGGCGTCTATCGAAAGCTTGCGGTTTTTCCTACAAGACAGAAGAGAACCGCCGACTCTTGTGTGAAAAATCATATATTGTTTCCAAACGTATCTACTCGTATTGTATGAGACACTATATGAATAACCTGAATAGTACAAGCCCTCTCCAATGCGTTTTCTTGGACGAAACGGGGATATTAGCCAAAGGGTCGTTTAAACGAGTTTGGTAAGATACAATCGTAAAGAGTTTGAAAAGCGGCCATTACGGTTATTTGAGCGATACTGCATTGTTATTTGCTACAAAATCAAAAAGTGCTGACTACCACGATTCCATGGACAAATATTCTTTCAAAAAATGGGCATCTGAGAAGCTGATACCAGCGTTACAAGAGCCATCTTTAGTAATCATGGATAATGCCTCTTATCATAGTATCTTAACAGAAAAGCTCTCCAATTCCAGTTGGAGTAAAATGCTATTGAAGCAATGGCTGCAAGACAGAAAGATACATTTTGATGACGACGCTTTTAAACTATGTCGCCTTAATAAACCATCAGCTCCAAGATATATCATAGACGAAATATTACATGAACATTGACATCAAGTTTTGGGGCTCCCTCCTTACCAATCAATACAACCCTACTGACTTAGTCTGAGGAATAGCCAAACAGTAGGGTTATTACAAAAGAATCATCGGGTTTTAAAAATTTATATTTCAGAGAGTATTGCAAATATAATATCAAACTAGAAAAGGAAAATGTTCGAGTTTAAAGCACGTGCTTGCGAACGCCGCTTTACCTCCCTAGGTAGCGGCACGAGCTCAGTATACAAAATGGCGACTATGCAGCAGAAAGCGTTTTGTGTGTTAGAGCACGCGCGATGTTTAACGGTTGTTACAGTGCACGACGGTATGGAACTGATTCTCCAGGTCATCAGAGCATTCTGCGATAGTATCGACAATTCAAGAAGACAGGTTGCATTACTAAACGTAAAAGTACCGGAAGACCACGAGTTCCTGACGAAATGGTGGACGCAGTTAGACACAGTTTCACGCGTTCTCCGCGACAGTTCACTAGCAGAGCAGGAAGTGAACTTGGTATTCCCCAGCCAACCGTATGGAAAATTTTGCGGAAACGATTGCGATTCAAACGGTACCGTCTACAGATGCTACAAAGCTTACGACCTGACGACCACGTAAAGCGACTTGATTTTTCTTCTAACATGCAGGAGGCAATGGAAGACGACGAATTTGCTAACTATCTCTGGTATTCACCGACGAAGCGACATTTCATTTAAGTGGAAGGGTGAACCGTCATAACATTCGGATATGGGGCACGGAAAATACTCATATGATTGTGCAACATGAAAGCGATTCTCCAAAATTGAATGTCTTCTGTGCAATATCCAAAAATAAAGTGTACGGGCTTTTTTTCTTTCATTAAAACACTGTAACGGTTCATCCTACCTAGATATGTTGCATTTGTGGTTATTTCCACAACAAACAGAAGATTCTAACAACTTCATATTCCAACAAGATGGAGCTCCGCCTCACTGGCATCGTGAGGTGCGTCGGTATTTAAACGACGCACTGCCTCACCGTTGGATTGGCCGAGGTACCGCACAAGATTTGGTATTGTTCGCGTGGCCTCCCAGGTCTCCCGACCTTACACCATGCGATTATTACCTTTGGGGTTACATTAAAGATATGGTTTACATACCCCCTCTGCCAACAACATTGGGTCAACTCCGAGAACGCATTACCACTGTTATTAACAATATCGATCGAGACACATTGCATCGTGTATGGGCCGAACTGGACTATCGTTTGGACATATGTCGTGTGACGCAAGGAGCCCACACCGAACATTTGTAATAACATGCTTAAAATCTTGAATAGTAAGAAGTAAAAAGCGGCGTACCTGAGAGATTGGAGAATACGAACCCTAGTGAGGCTTTGACAGCTGCAGGTACTGAAAGAGACACCGAAAAGGAGAGAGTTTATACCAGATTATCGCTAACCAGGCAGCCCAAATGAAGAGACTGACGGACTGCGTGGACAATCTCAATGCCTAGCCTAGCATTAATACTTCTTTAAATAAATTCATGTCCCGTGATGACAGTACTATTAAAATTCCCAAGAGAAAACACAACAGCCCTACTTCACCTACACAGACCGAAGACGACGTACAGGGTAGTGATTTTAGCCCTACCCAGAGACGTAAGAAACGACGGATTCGTAAAATTAACGAATATCGTTCCCTTCCGACTGAGAAATCCCCAACCAATACCAATTCAATGGACATAACACCGCCTGTGTCTGTTTCTTTTGCTGATTCTGCAAGCCAGCTAAAGCATTCTCAAATGCAAGCACCTAGCTTAAACGAAAGTCACAACTCTATTTCAGTCCCACAAGCTGCTTCCTTGGCTGGCAGCAACACTACATCTCCGTCATCTAATGCTACCCTCGACACGCAGGCACAGTAACCCCGTCAGGGGCGTGTTACACCTGTTGTGCTGCGGGATGCGGCAAACTGACGTACTGTCAACTATTCTTTTATCAGTCTTGGTATTAATATTGATCGAGCAGCAGCTGTTGATGCTGGGATACGCATCATACCTAAAAGCGAAGACGATTATCGGAAGATAATTCGTCTTTTCAAAGAGGAAAATGTTCCTCACCTTACATTTCCCCTGCCCTCTGAGCGTCAACTGCTGCGCAGGAAATCAAAGAGGAGCTCGAACAGAAGGGTTATACTCCCCTCCACGTAATTCGCTTGAAGCGCAACGGCGGCGTGCTCATGCCTTTGGTGGTGGTGATCCTGCCTAAGCCAGCGAAGCCACAGCAAGTGTTCAACGAACATGAACTGCTGGGGCTCTCTATCAGAGTTGAGGTTCAAAAGAACTCTCGACTCATTGGGCAGTGTCACCGCTGTCAGAAGTATGGACATGCGCAATCGTATTGCACTGCACCTCCAAAGTGTCTCAAATGTGCTCAAGACCACATGACACATCTGTGCCCTCAAACAGGACAAGAGGCGCGCAAATGTGCGAACTGTGGAGGGGACCATCCGGCCAACAGTTCTACCTGTAAATTCACTCCCAGGAGAAATCGCACAAAGGCGAGTAAAATCATACGCAGACGCAGCAAAGGTTGAAATTCCAGCTGCCCCTGCTGTCCCGAGCGACTGCTCAAAACGTGGACCTGGCAACAGCGCTAAGGTCCTTGCAGCAGATAATTAGTCCCCTGATAAGCGCTACACAGGCCTTGCAGGCGATCGTTCCGATAAATGGCTAGGTACAACAGTAGACAGCCTGCATTCATCAAAATTCTTTTCTGGAATTGTTTTGGTCTTAGGGATATTCCCAAAAACCGGGAATTTCATCAAGTACTTTTGGATGAGAGTATAGATGTGACTCTGTTGCAGGAAACACTGCTTAATCCGGGAGATGGTCTATCTCTCCCGAATTATGATGTTATCCGAGCTGATAGATTAACTGGATGGGGTGGCGGCTTGGCAGTCCTAGTTAAACGTGGTATTGACTACCATAGAAGCACAAATGCCGACATGCAGAGCATGAGCATGAGGCGGCTTCCGTGGAGGTTAATATGACGGGAGGTGTTCCGTTGAAGATCACATCGGTGTACGTCAGGTGTGGTGCCAGGCTGCAAGAGGCGGACCTGAAAGTCCTTATGGACTACTCTGGTCCGCTTAGTTTAGCGGGACACTTCAACTGCAAACACAGAGCATGGCATTCTAGATTGAATTCCACCAGTGGGATTAGACTGTACAACCATGTGATACGAAACGGCTACCTCCTATACAGTACTGAACAGCCCACGCACCACCCATTTAATCACATTCAGGCACCTGATGTCATCGACTTTGCAATATCTAGAAACTGTAGATACGGTATTACTTCTCGAATCATGTATGACATTTCTAGCGATCATCTTCCTGTCGTACTGGAAGCAGGTAATGAGCAAACCTTGGAAGAGGGAGCTTCTCCAAGGAAACGAGTTGAATGGGAACTATACAAGTTGTTTCTCAAAGAGTTCCCCAATATCCCGATCATAGATGATCAGAAAGATATAGACGGGGCTCAAGCGGAGTGGACAGGCTTCGTTCAGCAAGCTCTGCGGCGTGCAGCTGTACTTCATGTACAACAACACGGCAGACCTTTTCTCCCTGCAGACACTCGTCAGAAAATTTCTTACAAAAGTGCTGCAATTAAGCAAGCGAAAAGGTCTTGTCATCCTGATTACATTCGCAGAGCGACCTTGTTCATGAAGTAAGAAATGCTCTCCATGAATTCCGCAATGAGCAATGGAACGATTTTCTGGCGGGGATACTTGACTCGAGTACTCCTCTCTGGAAAGTGGCGAAGACGCATCAGAAACGGAAAGCGAGAACAACTCCCGCACATCCACAGTCCTGGGGGCATAGTCTTCAGGTCAGAGGACAAGGTCGAGGTTTTCGCTGATGCTACGGAACGACAGTTCTCTCCCAACTATGATCTTGATAATGATCTCGACGAGGAGCAACAAATTCAAAGACCCGTCAGGAGATATTTTAGGGCCAACGGCGTCAGTGATCCCGGCGCCACCATTAGTGATTCTTCCTCAGAAGATTCTTTTTCGGAAGATTCTTCAGCTGAAGAGTTGCACAGCTTATCGATGGCTCCTCCCGAGATCCCGCACTACACACCAGCAGAGCTTCAAGGTCATATTAGAGACCTCAAGGTGCGTAAAGCGCCTGGGGAGGATCAAATCACTAATAAGGCGCTGAAGCTGCTTTCACGGAAGTCCTTGACTTATCTCGTGGCTATTATCAATGCCATGCTAAGAACCCAGCGTGGCAGACTGCGGAAGTTATAATGCTTCCAAAGAAGGTGGGTCCGATATTTCCCCAGGACTATCATCCCATCAGGCTACTGTCTGCTCCATCTAAGCTCGCTGAAAAGGTGATTCTACGTCACCTTGCGAATTTCTCGTCAGATCACCATGTGATTCTTGACGTGCAATTTGGATTTCGGTCTGAGCATAGTACGGAGTTACAGGCGGTTAGGCTTGTGGAGCGAGTAACCAGGGGCTTCACCCTTAACGAAAGTACTGGCATCTTGATTCAAGGCTCCGAGGCATTTGACAAGGTGTGGCACAAGGGCCTTCTCTATAAACTAATTCAAAAGGGCTTTCCATTTTGGTTCCTAAAACTTTTGAAGTCGTTCCTTGAAGGTAGGAAATTTCGGATCAAAATTAATAATTTCTTGTCGACAGTACGGCCCATCAGGGCCGGCGTCCCTCAGGGTTCGGTTTTAGGGCCAATCTTTCACTCACTTTACACGCATGATGTCCCTTGCCTTAGCGACTGTGAAGTCTAATCTACATGCTGATGACACTGCACTGGTGGCCCAGTCGCGTACCGGGAATTTGGTTCACCACAGGTTACAAAGTGCGGTGGATGAGGTAATGGAATGGGCAGATCGGATCTGATTCAAAATTAATTACTCGAAAACGCAGGCTATCTATTGTACTAAAAAACGTAGCGGCGCGTCGCCTGAGGTTTCAGTGAATGGAGCTCGCATACTATGGGAAAATTCTGCTAATATCTCGGTGTCACTCTTGACAGGGGGATGACCTGGCAGAATCACACTGAAGCGTTAAAAACTAAATTCCAAATTAAGTTTCGGCAACTCTACTCTTTACTATGTAGAACCTCAAAATTAAGTTTGGTTAACAAAGTTCGGCTATACAAGATGGTTATCAGACCAGCAATCACTTACGCATGTGCAGAATGGTGTTTTCTTGCCAAAACGCATATGCGTAATCTGCAGGTTTTGCAGAACAGAACCTTGCGAACCATCACTAACGCACGATGGTATGTCTCCAACGAGACCCTTCACAGAGATCTCGACGCCCCTTACCTAAGAGACTACATCAAACATCAGGCGCAGTTACGTTATAGTCAAGTGGCATCGTACAGCAACCCTCTGTTGCATGAGTCAGTAGACTACACAGTCGAGCAAGTTCGCAAGCACACAAGACCGCGGCTCGCACTGTGATCAAAATCAAATCGTGCAATTCTATATCCAACCAAAATTACGATTTTTGCCACACACAAATTCCTAAATTATTTTTTGGATTAATTTAAATTAACCGAATACCAGCTAACAATAGCAAGGCATCCCTTTAACTAGCGC